AAGTGTGTAGTCAATGTCACTGAACTGTGCATTTAGAAATTTTTGAAACGGTGTATCTTTGGCTATGTGTATTTTCACCAAAAAAAAAAAAAAAGGTCGGGAAGGGAGAGGGTTGACATATCGTGGGGTTGTTAACCAGTGTCATAAAACAACATGTGTACTACTGTTTCATGAGAAACTATTTGTTCTGTAAGCCTTCACCTGAAGTACAATTAAAAAAAAATAAAAAAGAATAATTACTCTTCCTTTAGGGAGGAGAAAGGGTCTGTGTCATAGACAAATTATGTTCTGAGACACGTGTCTCAGATGCCATGGGGAGGAGGCAGTCAGTTCAAGGGAATGGGTTCCTTGACGAGCTTATGTTTGCCAGAATATTCCGAGACGTGTTCTAGAAGCTACCTATGGAATTACCATCATAAAGCCTAGAGAGGATGAAGACCCTCATCGACCTCCAACCTCAGAAGAGCTGTTGACGGCTTATGGATGTGAGTTATGATTTAATTTAAAACACGATCAACGTGTAACAATATAGCTAATGAAAACTACCACTCTGCAAAGTTACAAATTCTGAATTTTTCTCTTGCATTTCTCATGTCATCTTCCAGGGTTGATGTACTTGTTGTTTCTGCTGACCTTGCTTACACAGTAGCCTCCAAGTAGCTAACTTGGTGATGGTTTCAGGATCCAGCAGTAAATGAAGCAGAACTGACTGCTGTCTGAGTAGGATTTTACTTCAGTACGTTAAGTGCTTTTTAGAGTTAGAAAAGGAGGTGCTCTGTATCCCTTGCCGCTTCCCCAGGTCTGTTCTCCCCTAACCTTCACTGGAGGCATCAGATCCCTGACGAACCACGTGTCTTCCCCTAAAGGAGGCCTAGATGGTGGAGCTCAGGGCCCGTCAGCAGCTGCCACAGCTTCTAAAGAAAAAGCCTTTAGGGCATTCTGATGGTACCCAGGTGCAGACACAGGGGATCTGATGTGAGGCTGCTCTTGGCTTTTTCTGGGGTCTTCTTCCAAACAGAGAAGAAAAGGGACATTGGAAAGAAAATGAATAGGTTTACCAGAGGAGGATAAGGGAACATGAGGCAGTAAGCCCCCAGAAATTGGGACAGAGCAGAGCTTGGTTAGGATAAGGACGTAAAGCATCCCCCCTCCCCCCTGCCATCTGTCCCTTGTAAACCTTGTTTGACATTAAAATGAACCCGTAGCTATCCCACCTCCATGTCTTACCCTGGTTTCTCATGGGATTTCTTTTTGCCTGTGTAGACAGATTCGTGGTATGACTTGTGTAGTCACAGAATCATAGAACTGGAAGGCACCTTAAAAACCACCCACCCCACTTTCCATCCCCCCTTTATAAGACAGTCTGAAATCAGAGCATGAAATAACTTGCCCAAGGTGATATAGCTGGCCAGTGGCAGAGCTTGGATGAGAATCCGTATTTCCTAATCCACACTTCTTATGGTATGGCAGCAGAAAAGATCAGGAAAAGTGGGCTTCCCGCCCTAGCTTTTCTTTCTGTTGCCCCTTTTTAAATAAAACTTCCAATTTGATTTGACTTACAGATAAAACTAAAAATAATTGAGTCTTTAAGGTTTTCATCTAATGCTATCTGATAAAATCAGAGAAAGGAAAAGGATGAAACACAGTTTCTGAAATCACCATCTGCAGCTCCGTGCAGAATAAAGTCTCTGACAATTAAGTTCAGAGAAATTTTGTAGAATGGAGCTTTAGAAATAGGTTTATTATACCATAGGTTGAACACATTTTAATTGCAAAGGACCTTGCCAAATTACTCTCATTTTAATTTTTATTTGTTTGATTACTCAGTGGAAAGACCTGGCAACTGCTTCCGAAAAGTCAGCCACTGAAAACCCTATGAATCAAGTTCTGTTCTGCCACATATAGGGTCACCATGAATCCGAGTTGACTCAGCGGCAACTGGTTTTTGGTTCCGTAATTGCTGGGGAAGTTGAGCATCTTTCCATATGTTTGTGGACCATTTATATCTCTTCTAGGAATCACCTTTTTTGCGTGAGCGGTTTGTCCTGTTAATGATTTGTGTAAGAGTTCTTTGTTGTATGCGCTGCAAAAGTTTTTCCCATTTATGTTTATTTAGAGTTTCTTTAGCCCTATAGAAGTTGATAATTCTAATGCATAGACTATTTTTTTTTCTCTTTGGTTTGGCAGGGTCTGGTGTTTTAGTTAGAAAGGGCATCCCTATCTTAAAGGATAAAACAATTTTCCTATAATTTTATTCTTTTTAACCTTTTAGTTTTTAATCTGCCTAAAGACCCAGCATACAGGTTATTATGTGAGAGAGCTGCATTTTGAACCCAAAGTGTCTACAGAAGCTGGTGGTCTTAACCACTATACCCTGCCATTTTCTTCTAAATGAGTTAGTATTCAGAGGGTCCTCGTCTTGTATTCGGTGTGTAAATATCAGGTATATCATTAAGTAAGGAAACTCACTCTCCAACTCCGGGCGTTTCAGTGACGTTGATGCCATAGCAGTCTTCTCCCAGTGCTCTCCGTGAAGAAACTCCGCAGTCAAGGGATGGAAGGAGAGACTGAAGTAGAGGGAAATTGAATGTGTCTGTCACAGTGAGTCGTGCTGGGTGGTGGTTCTCTTGGATGAGCAAATGTTTTTAATGCTAATCAAAGTATTTTCAACAGTAAGTACTTCTTAAAAGCACAGAGTGAGGACGCTTAGTGTGACAGAAAGGACCTAGGTTCCATCACCTCTGTTGTCTTTGTTGCGATATTCTGTCTTCTCACTTAGCTTTTGCAAAGTTCATTTTTCCTCACAGATCTGCGAGGATTCATGACGGCTCACGGGCAGCCAGACCAACCTCGATCTGCGCGGTATATCCTGAAAGATTATGTCAGTGTAAGTGAACTCTGCTCTTGATTGCTCTTGAATAAGCAGGTTGAGATTGTGTTATAACTGAGGTTGTACTCTTGATCCAAGGGAGGTAGCCTCGTATAAATCATGACACTGACTTATCAACGTATTGTGAAAGGAAAATGAAGAGCTAGCTCTAAACACCTGTTATTAATGAAAATGGGAAGTTTATGTCTGGTTGTCGTATTTCCTGCAGCCCTTTGCTTGTTTCTGTTATCTGTTAACAGATGATTATCCCAGTCTTCCTTGTACCGTAGTTGTTTACGTCCCTATGTCCCTACACCTAGGCGGTAGCGGTAGTAATACTAGCTAACATTTATCAAAAGCTTACTCTGCTGGGAACAGATCTAAATGTTTTACACGTATTGTCATTAAAATTAAAAACATGTAACAAGTCTGTGCGGTTATTACCCCATTTTACAAAAGAGAGTATCACTTAAGTTTTGGGTTTTCCTCAGTAAAATGGGGATAATAACAGCACCTACCTCATGGGATTATTATGGGGAATAAATAAGAACAGTGCGTATATATATAAAGCACTAAGCTTCAGTGCCTGGCGTTTAATAATCTCCCAGTAATTGTTAGGTGTTAGCAGTGAGTTTAATCCTTTCCATGAATAAGCATTACAGGGCCCTGTTAATAACTAGTCATGAGGATTTGGCTTTATTCCCTTTTCAAGACTGTGGCAGTGGTGTTTTTGGAGGATGGAAATAAAAGTGGGCAGCCATATTCTCTTGCTTTCAACTGAGGAAGAAAGTAGTGGATGGAATATTTGTATGGGTAAATTACTTACTCATCTGCCACTTAAGGCACTGAACCATGGAAAGATGAGTTAAAAAACAGTTACAGCTTTTAGAGCATTGATAGTGGAGAGGAAGAAGCAGACTTGCACCCAGTGAACAACTGCAGCTCTGCCTGCAGGAGTCTAGGAACGATCTTGATTTCAGTGTTCTGGCCCGATGTCCCCACCGGGGCATTCATAACTGTCAGATTATGTCATGGTTTTTGATTTGCAGAATACCATCATTATAATATGTAGTATACTGAAAAATACGAAATGCAAACAGAGTTAAAAGGAGCACAAGGAAGAAAGATTCATTCTAATCTGGAGGGCTATGGGAAGATTTTGTGGCAGAGACAGCATTTGAATTAGGCCTTAGAAAATAGGTTGGCTTTAGACAGGAGAAATGTGGAGTAGGGGGTGGCGAGTGGAGGGTGGAGGGGACACCTTTTCTAGCTGGAAGGAACAACATAATCAAAGGCAAGAGCCGGAGGAGCGCCAGCCACAGCAACAGGGTGTTAAGTGTGGGCAGGGTCCAGGATCAAAAGAAAGGTTTACCAATGAAGTTGGACTCTTTTTTGAAGGTATTAAGAATTGATCAGAGAGTTCTGAGCAAGGCAGTGCTCTTTGGGAAGGTAGTTCTGCCTAGACAGGTGACAAGGGAGAGACACTGACTTATTAAATATGGTTTCATTTTAGGAGGCTGCTGGCTTTGTTGATAATGGACGTGAATGTGCTACTGAAAATAGAATGTTGTCTGGTTATATGGGCTACCAATTTTGTAAAAAGTAAAATGCCATAAAATAATACTAAAATGTAATCAATAACCTTTGACAATTCAGGAAATAATTTAAGATTGTGTATTAGTTGTTGTTGTTGGGTGTCATCGAGTCGGTTCTGACTCATAGTGACCCCGTGTGCTACAGAACCAAACACTGCTCAGTTCTGTGCCATCCTCCCAGTCGTTATGCTTCAGCCCACTGTTGCAGCCACTGTGTCATTCCATCTCGTTGAGGGTCTTCCTCACTCTTGCTGACCCTCTACCAAGCGTAATGTCCTTCTCCAGGGACTGGTCCCTCCTGATAACATGTCCAAAGTACATGAGAGGAAGTCTCACTATTCTTGCTTCTAAGGAGCATTCTGGCTGTACTTCTTCCAACACAGATTTGTTCATTCTTCTGGCAGTCCATGGTATATTCGTGGTGAAGAATATTGAATATACCATGGACTGTGTATTAGCTGGCAGCCTGGTGGTGCAGTGGTTAAGGGCTTGGCTGCTAACCAAAAGGATGGCAGTTTGAATCCACCAGCTGCTCCTTGGAAACCGTATGGGCAGTTCTACTCTGTCCTGTAGGGTCACTATGAGTCAGAATCGACTCGACAGCAATGGTTTTGGTTTGTTTTTTGGGTTTTTTTTGTGTGTGTGTATTAGGATTTTTTAATTGCCGTTGACCACAACTCAGCTAGTTTAATCAAAAGGGAGAAATTATTTTAAAGGATACTAGGGGGTCTCATCAGGAGCCCTGTTGGTGAAGTAGGTAAGCACTCTCCCGCTAACCAAGAGGTCAGCAGTTTGAACCCACCAGCTGCTCCACAGGAGAAAGATGTGGCAGTTTGCTTCCGAAAAGATTGTCATTGTCATTAGGTGCCGTCCAGTCGGTTCCGACTCGTAGCAACCCTGTGTACAACAGAACAAAATACCACCTTGTTGCCATCCTCACAACCATTGTTATGCTTGAGCCCATTGTTGCAGCCACTTTGTCAGTCCGTCTTGTTGAGGGTCTTCCTCTTTTCTGCTGACAGAGATTACAGCCTTGGTTTCACTACTTCATTCTTTTATGGGGCCAAATAATATTCCATTATGTGTCCTATAGGGTAGCTATGAGTTGGAATCAACTCAACGGCCGTGGTTGGGTTTTTTTTTGTTTGTTTTTTAGTGGGAGGGTTAGGGTGGACTCATGGTGCCCATGTGCCAGTGCCCACCCCTGGACCAAACAGCTGTGGCCAGGTGACAAGATTATGTGCTGTCACAGAAGTGCCCAGGATAGCTGTGGGCTCTGGAAAAAGGGGCAGTTCGGAGAGAAGAGTTACTGGGTGCACAGTTCCCCGGGTGCCTAATGCAGCTGTGAGTTCCAGTGATCGCACAGTCTATAGAACTGTTCTAATGTTTTGAATTTTCATCTTGTATTCTGAGTAAATGGGACTTTGTGGCAAAATATAATTTTCTCATTTGTATTTGCTATGTAAAGCACCAGGGTAACAGTTCAGTGGCCTTATTAATTGGAAATAAATTTCAAGAGTGTGTTTATGCTGTGAAGTTGAAAGAAATCCATAGATGTCATTTCTACAGATGGTACCCATTGTACCTGCTGCCGTCGAGACAATTCCAACTCATAGCAATCTTGTAGGACAGAGTAGAATATTTCCCGTAGGGTTTCCTAGGCTGTAATCTTACAGAAGCAGACTGCCACATCTTTTTCCCACGTAGCGGCTGGTGGCTCTGAACCACTGACCTTTGGTTAGTAGCCAAGCACTCAACCACGGTGCCACCGGAGCTCCTTCTCTCCAGATGCTAGTGCCGAATAACTAGAAAAGGAGCCACCTTCGTAGTGAGCTGAAGAACAGAGGAGCAGCAGCTCCTGTTCCACACGCGTCTGCCCAGTGGGCAGTGGTAAGAGCTAGCAAAGGAACACAAGAGGGACAGGGCTGGAGCTGCTCTCGAGGCTCAGCATTTGAGGGGACATTTCTGTCACGGAGGAGCCGCACCCCAGTGTGCCTGGCTGGAGACGGCTCCCCGTGGGGCAGTGCAGACGGCACTTCTGCTGCACTGTCGTCCTTCTTGTCTTTGCAGGGTAAGCTGCTGTACTGTCATCCTCCTCCTGGAACCGATCCTGTGCTGTTTCAACAGCAGCAGCGGCCACTCACAGAGAACAAAAGGAGCAGCGATGAAGGAAGAATGCCCCCGGGCAGAGAGAAAAAAGTGAAACAGATTGAAAACGTAGTTGACAAAACGTTTTTTCATCAAGTAAGTTTTTGTTTTTTTTTTTTAATTGTACTTCAGGTGAAGGCTTGCAGAACAAATAGTTTCTCATGAAACAGTAGTACACATATTGTTTTATGACATTGGTTAACAACCCCACATGTCAACCCTCTCCCTTCTCGACCTTTTCCTTTTTGGTGAAAATATACATAGCCAAAGATACACCATTTCAAAAATTTCTCCATGCACAGTTCAGTGACAGCGACTACACTCTTCCAGTTGTGCTGCTATTCTCACTTTAGATGAAGGCTTACAGAACAAAATAGTTTCTCATTTAACAGTTAGTACACATGTTGCCCTATGACAATGGTTAACAACCTCACAACACATCAACATTATCCTTACTCAACCTTGGGTTCCCTATCACCAGTTTTCCTGTCCCCTTCTGCCCTCTGGCCCCTGTCCCTGGACTGCTGTGCCTCACTAGTCCCATTTGGTTTTATGGGGCCGTCCACTCCCTGGCTGAACGGTGAACCTCGGAAATGACTTCACCACTGAGCTAAAAGGGGGTTTGGGGGCCATACTCTCAGGGTTTCTCCAGTCTCCTTTAGGCCAGTAAATCTGGTCTTTTTTTTGTGAGTTAGAATTTTGTTCTACATTCTTCTCCAGCTCTGTCCATAACCGTCTGTTGTGATCCCGGTCAGAGCAGTCAGTGGTGGTAGCTGGGCACCATCCAGCTGTACTGGAATCAGTCTGGTGGAGGCCTTGGTAGCCGTGGTCTATTAGTCCTTTGGACTAATCTTTTCCTTGTATCCCATTCTCTTCGTTCTCCCTTGCTCCCGAAGGGATGAGACCAGTGGAGTATCTTAGATGGCTGCTCACGGCTTTTAAGACCCCAGAAGCTACTCACCAAGGTAGAATGTAGAACATTGTCTTTATAAACTGTTATGCCAATTGAGCTAGATGTTCCCCGAGACCATGGTCCCCACAGCCCTCCACCCAGCAGTTCAGTCCCTCAGGGAGTTTGGAGTGTCTGTGGTGCTTCCATGACCTTTCCTTGTACAAGTTGTGCTAATTTCCCCTGTATTGTGTACTGTCTCACCCTTCACCCAAGGTACCACGTATCTATTGCCTATTTAGTATTTCCCCCCCCACCCCTCCCATCCCTGGTAACCAACAAAGATCGTTACATTTGGTGTGTGAACTTTTTCATGGGTTTTTACAATAGAGGTCTCATACAATATTTGTCCTTTTCATCAAGTAAGTTTTAAAGTTTTTCTTTAACTTCTGATCCCACACATTTTTTTTATACCAGCTCTGTTAATATTCACCTACCAGGCACTTCACCCTTTTAAAGTAGAAATGCTGTTGGTTTTAAATATTCACTGAGCTGTGCACCCATCTTTGTTATCTAACTTTAGACCATTTTCATCCCCCTAAAAAACCCCCTACCTATCAGCAGTCACTCCAGTTCCCTCCAGCCTCAGGCCACGACTCACCCACTTTCTGTCGCTATAGATTTGCCTCTTCTGGACAGTTCACAGAAATGGAATCATAGAATATGTAGCCTTCTGCGATTGACTTCTTTCACTAAACACAGTGTTTTCAAGGTTCATCCATGTTGTAGTGTCTTTCACTGCTTCGTTCCTTTATGGGACCAAATGATATTCCATTATGTGGGTATGGAGCCCTGGTGGCACAGTGGTTAAGAGCACAAGCTGCTAACCAAAAGATTGGCAGTTTGTATCCCCGAGACGCTTCTTGGAAAATCTATGGGGCAGTTCTACTCTGTCCTATAGGGCCGCTATGAGTCGAAATTGACTTGATGGCAACGAGTTTGGTTTTGGTGGGTATACCACATTGCGTTTATCCATTGATGGACATTTGGGTTGTTTCCACTTTTTGGCTATTGCGAATAGTGGTGCTATGAAGATTCATGTACAGATTTTTGTGTGAGCATGTTTTCTTTTGGGTATATACCTAGGAGTGGGATTGCTGAGCCATATGGTAACCCTGTGTTTTACCTTTTGAGGAATTGTCATTCTGTTTTCCAAAGTGGCTCCACCATTTTACATTTCCACCAACAGTGCCTGAAGGTTCCAATTTTACCACATCCTTGTCAACACTACTATTGTCTGTGTTTTTTATTATAGCCATTCTAGTGGATGTAAAGTATCTCACTGTGGTTTTGATTTGCATTACCCTAGTGACTAAGGATGTTGAGAATCTTTTCATGTGCTTATTGGCACATATATATCTTTTCTGGAAAAATATCTATTACTGTTGAATTGTAAGGGGTTATAAATGTCTTCTGCACTTTAAAATATTTATAACCTTGTTTGTTAAACGTAGCTATAATTTGTTCACAGCGTCTTAAAAAAAGTATGTGCAAAACAGTTCAATCATACAGTTGTACATAATACATGCTTTACTTTTAAAATTATTTTAAGTGACTACTATAACAAAAAAGTCAGCTGTACCCAGAGAATGATTCTTTCTCTGTGTGCTTCACGCAACAAGCCTGTGAGGCAGGCTCGGCAGGTATTGACAGCTGAGGACACTGAGGCATAAGGAGGCACAGTGGCAAAGCTAGGCTAGAACTTAGATATTTGTGGCTTCTAGTTTATTTCCAAGTCTGTGCCAGTATTTAGAAGAAAACTTACCACCAGTGTCAGAAAGATTACAAGTTCTTTCTTGAGTCTACAACTGTCATACAGGATATTTACGTTGAAGTTTTAAATATTTACAGTTTCTGAAAGGCTGTGTACAAGGAAGCTGAAAACTTATGGTTAATTATAATAATTCATGTGTCTAAACCTTACTTCTAGAGTAATATTTTACTAATATAAGATTATGAAATAATTGCTTTACTCTTGAAAATCATGTTAGATTAAATTTCTTTTATGAAGTAAACTTAAAACTCGCTTTGTTTTTCATATTGTTTTACTTTAAATAAATCTCAAGTTTATGAAAA